CCCGTAGACGGGCGCCGTGCATGAGGATGGGGAGAGAAATAGTCCAAGTCCCGAGACGCGCTGGGGAGCGGTGTCACTGGATCAAGGCCTTGCGTGCGTATTGGTCGAGGGACAGAAGTGGTATCGTTCGGAGGCAATTGAGGGATAATGGATAGCGGTGGAGGAGATTTCAGCGCAGCGAGCGGTATCATCGGGGTAAGAAGAGGGCTGGGTCGAGTCAAAGAGGGAAGTGAAGGAAGGACAGCGGGCAAACAAGTGGTTGATGTCACAACTGCACTACTAACAAGAACCCGCGACGGCCTCGTTGAAGACTCGAAGGAATGCCGCAGTGTAGAACTTGAAGAGTTCCCGTTCGGTTCCAGTGATGGAGCCACAGTGCGCTGCATAGCTGAGTTACCAGTCTCGGAACCGTCGCGTTTACGACGAATGCGTTGCTCCTCGCGGATAAAGCCGAGGAACAAATTTCGTAGGACCCACCGGCCAATGTTAACTGAAGCGTATGGTTGGATTAGATGAGAATTAACACAAAGAAGAATATACTTACACCGGAGTTCATCGCCAAAATGCCTGTCATGATCGAAGCCAGCCTCGTCTGCATATATTTCAGAATCGAAACAGCGCTCGTTAATATGCACAGTGAGGACACCGGTTTTCGTGTCCACAGACGACCAAGGCGAACTAACGGCATCACCCTCAATGCGCTCTCGGACTGCCTCAAGCGCCTCACGAGGACTTCGTTCTTTGTCACCCCCTGTCACACTCCCGTTGTCATGACGACGCCCACTGCTGGAAGTACTGCCGGATCTACTCGCAGCACGCACCTCATCACGAGCAAACTGACCTCTGCAGATTCCTCGCACGATATCCCACACAGCGACTTCGCCTGTCGTATCTACCGTTAACGCATGCATCCGATCGTTCAACAAGATAGCTCGCACAAGGCCAGGAGAGCCTGCTATCACCGCATCTGGGTTTGCGTTTAAAGGCTCGGCATCAGCAGCGAACTCCCGAGCTTCATAAGCCGTTCGAGGGTCATGCACTGCATCGATATCAGTGGGCGCCATCGAGATCTCACTTTTCTTGCTCCGGAGAGTGTTGGGGGGCATGAGGGTGGAAGAGTGATGAAGAGTGGCATGGAGTGGCAAACGTCCTCCCGGAACGGAGGCAATGGACGCAGCAGAGTATAATGTTGCAACCTCGGGATCGCGTCCACGTAGAGCGAACGAAGAAGGGGAGAAAGGACCATCAGGAGAGGTAAGTCGTACAAAAGATGTGAGCGGGACACCGGGGTAGGCTGCTGTCGCGTCATCCCTACGAACTAGTTAATAGCTCAGTATTGAAAATTTAACTTAAAATTGGAAGTGCACCTTGATGTATTGACGGTGGTGCAGACCACTGTATAGAGTCAGGTCCAAGGGAAATTTGTCTCCTCGAGATCGTCGTAAAGGATCTATCAGCAATGATTTCTCTCTCTTCCTCTAAGACTCGTTTCGGTATGGGTTTCGGAAGCCTCCAGCGACTGATGCTCGATTTACCGGAGGCGGTCCAAAGAAGACCGTCATCTGCGGTTACGATTTTATTGATACCTTCCCCGACTTCAACAGAAGATTCCCCCGCAATAGTGATGCAGGCGCCATCCGAAATGTCTGCGCATCCCTCCACATCGACTTTGCACACCATACCCGACTTGTCGCCAGAGTAGAATACCTCGAGTGAGGGATGCGTCGAATGTAGAGACCAAACAGAATCTGTGTGGTACGCAAACGTATGTAAGCATCGCTGAGATGACAATGACCATAGCTTGATGGATGCTAATGATGCAAATATTCAGAAAAATATTCGGAGGACCATGATGTGTTACACACCGTCTGCAGAACCTGTTAGAAGCTGGCCGAACTCGTTAGAACAGATTGTTGTTGAAATGTTCATAACTCACATATCGCGCATCCTCTGAAATAAGAATAGCTCTGATATTGTCCGTGTGGCCGACCAGCTTCCCTGTCCTCTTTCCCGAGCGCGGGTCCCACATCCTGACGACACGTTCTGGAGATCCACTTGCAATGGCGTGTCCGTACGGGTCGGAGGCTATTGCATATACAGAGGCTTTAGGCGCGGTAGCATCAGGTGGGTTGAGAGTAAGGAATGGTTCGGGCGATATCGATGCTCGGGTGAGATCCCAGAGTTTAATGGTTCGGTCGAATGAGCCAGAAGCTATCCAGTTCTGTCCGCGACTAAATACATGTCAGCATGAACCATTATATTCGAGGAGTGCATACCAAAGAGCGAGACAGCGTGCATAATCGGCGTGAGATCCTATTGCAGACGGGTCACTGGGAGAAACGGCATGAGGATGCCAGGCCTTGATGGTTCCATCGGATGATGCAGAAACAACTGTTTATGGTTAGCCCGTCAACGTACCACTGCATTCCATGCACTTACCTGTCTGATTATAATTACAGAGCAAGAGATCATTTACCCAGTCTGTGTGGGTCTGCGCGCACTGACGGAAGCTAGAAGGCTACAAGATATGCTTCCAGTTACACGTAACATGATAAATATTGTGTCTCACCGATCCTGATGTCAACGCATCGGTGTCCAACTGCCACTGAAGTTCGTACGGTAACTGGTCCGTTGTGCTGCCTCTTCGCTTTCGTCCTCCACTCTCCTTTACATCTCCTAGCACATCACCATCTCGTCGTTCATCTTCCTCAGCCTCTTCAGCGAGTGTTTCATCTCCCATTCCTGTCAACATTTCCCATCTGTCTAACGGGTCTCTGCGGTACCTGCCATCATGTCTCCGCCTGAACGGAAGTCCCAAATCCCATGATATGATTAGTCCATCCCTTCCGCCAGTATAAAGAATGCCTTCCGGTGTGTTCCGACCTTCGAGACGCGTGGTTGTGTCGAGCGCAAGGGACATGGCGCCCAGTCGATGCCTTGGATGAGAGTTCTCCGATGTGCTCTTGGAGTCGGCCAGTGGTGTTTGAGAGGGTATGATGAGTGGGCGTATTGAACCATTACGGGGGACTCCAAATAGTGGTAGCCTAAGCCGTGGAACATCGTCCGTGGGTGGAGGTATCACATATGATACCCTACGCCTGGGAGGTGCCATGTGAAGGAAAATACAAATTTACATACAGGTATACAAGTAGTATGGTATACAGCCGTCTCTGAAGGACGCGTTACGTCGACCAACTGTGATTGAACGTTGTCGTCGATGATGAGGAGAATCAGATGACGGGCAAATATCGCTGAATGTATTTGGTGCCTGATCAACTTGGATGTGCCACACGGTGTTGCAGCTGTGCGCATGGGATGTAATCTAATCTTATCCACATTGACCTCATTTGGCACCATCGTATAGTAAACTTGTACACGACCGTTGTTAACGAGAGCAATACTTGACACTTTTCTCTTGAAAGATTGTCTTGAACGTCGAATAAGAGCTCGGAGCACACCCTCAGGCTCATCACAAAGCTTCAGCACAGACGACGATGTTTCTGAGCTACATGAGTTCACTTCATTAAGAATGCTCAAAGTCGGGGGCATGTTGCCCACGCCCACCGCCCATGCCTACGACCCCTCCGCGTGTAACACCGTCCCGTTACACGAGTGCACCCACGAAAGCTGCCTTGCCAGATCTGACCCGGGTACATTTCTGTTCGGTACCCACCAATGACACGCCGCTCAATACACTTCGGTGCACAGTCAATGACACGCTTGCGGCCTATAATCTGACCACTAATCTAGATTCGTCTTAGATACTCGTCTGCGACATGCTGCGCGGCTTTATCGAAGCTTGTGCACCCCTCCGGAAACTCGCACAAAGGAATGTGAGATTTGTGAACGGGAGGTGCGATTGACATGCCACCACCTCATCCCTTGATCCACAAATGCCAAGCACGGTGCTCAAGATGAAAATACACCCAGAATCAACGATAAACTCCGTCGCATGGCCATGTAGGTTTGTTCGTTGAATTCCTACCGTACCGCCACGGTCTAGTCTCACTTTGTAGACCATGCCATAGTGCTGTGCATCATATGACCAGTAATGACGAACTTGCTGGCGCAAGTCAGACCCGGGAGAAAGACTGGGAGCATAAATTATATAGCACAAGTCACGAACTCACAAGAGGATTAATAAGACTGCAGATACTCATTGTCAAAACTACCATTCACTCCTACTGGCTCTTCAGTCACTTGCGAGTCTGTGATTTATATAATTTTGGTGGGCAGTCCTCTGCACCATGTGTGCAAGTTCGACCTATTCACATCATCCTCATAGGACTAGGGTGAGACAAGGGAAAATGGTGAAAACGAGATGACTCGCCAAGGCCTCTAATTCCGTACATCCTAACGCGAGTCCGGACTCCGTACGCGCCTCGAAGACGCGTCCCTGATTATGGTAGTAAAGGGACGACAATTCAACCGAAATTGACACTATTTTCAGCAACTTGAAGAACCAAGGATATGTACAGTCGAAGGTCTCCGGAAATGACAGTCTTCCGATTTGCTGCACATGCTCCACGTATATCTGGTCGAATAGAAGAAACTCCAGGTTCAAAGTCTTTCAGAAGAAGTAAAATCAACAATGAGTATACAAATTTAGGACAATCTCGGAGCTGAGACAATACTACTTACTTTCGTAGACTTGGCAGATGCTTAGATATCTATCGCTCTCCAGGGTTCTTCGGGCGAGTGCCTCGGCGATATGATGCCCCGTGGGCTCCGAGGTGCGTTTTTGCGGATGATGTGACTTTGAGGCCCCGGAGCCGCGTCGACGACCCATGACATCGTAGTCTCGGTTTGCAAAGTGAGTATGTCTGAGGATTCGGAGCTTTCGACGTCCAAGATAATCAAACCGCACTTTTTTTTTAAGAAAGAAGTGATTATTGTATGAAGCAACAGGTTTGGAAACAATCAATTACATAATCAGGCCTGGGAGTACTTGGTGTTACTGAAAATGAAAAACATTAGACTGCAGTTGAAATGCAAAAACATTCGGATACGGGGAATCGAACCCCGAGCTACCGCGAACCTTGAATTATGAGAGGCGGTAATGTTAACCATTACACCATATCCGATTGAGTGACAAGATCCTGGTCAATCTATCAGTCCTGTATATGCAAGTACACGGACAAGCTTCCAATTGATATTAGTAAAAGGCTCGCAATTCGTGATGTTCCCTACTCGCATGTGGAGGACAACAGCACCTATCCTGCGGGCGTCGCATAGTGCTCGGTACCTGCCAGTCCTTGCTAGAAATTATCCACGAGTTCGACTGCCGACATCCAACCTTCGTTCAGTTCCCCTCCGCCAACTCTCAACATCATCTCCCCGACATGCTCAGTATACACGCTTTTCGTCCGAAAATCAACGCCACCCGTCAGGAGATGTGATAGATAATCGCATGAAGATTGTTATTGCAGTTGCTGCACTCGGAGGAACATATTATGTCGTGCAGTACGTGTTCAGCACATTACTTGTGATGTTATGTCTCACTTTACCCCTCAAGTTTAGAACAAGTCCCTGAAACAGGTAGGTGGCGATTTATGGATATAAGTCCCAAGTACGAGACAAATGTGAGAGCAAGCTTAGCCTGAAGGAACAAACTCTCATTTTTGCCCCCTTGCAGCTTGCACAGGCGGCGTATAACGAGCTCTTGGCTGAATTCCGAGGCAAGATATTACCTTCTGATCATCCTGTAACACGACACGTCCAACGAGTTGTCAATCGTATTCTTGAGTCATCGGACCTTGGCCACTTGAGCTCTAGTGAGCCTAGCCGGTCACTAGTGGGGGCACCAGATGACTTCTGGAGCGAAGACCCGTTCACCACCGGAAGACCTAAGGAGTCGTCTACACCCGAAAGCGGAGGTAAAGAATGGAATCTGCTTGTTGTGAATGATCCATCCATTGTAAACGCCATGGCCACCTTCGGTTCGCTCTCGAACTGTTTCTGCAAGTGAACCTTCACATATATGTGGTCACAGGAAATATCGTGGTGTTCACCGGAATTTTACCTATATGCAAGGATGAACAGGGTTTAGCTGGTGTTCTTGGACATGGTATGCAATTCCGCAAATGATAGTCTGCGCAACTCAAATAATTCGGCAGAGATCGCCCACGTGGGTATGTTGGCATGATACAACACGCATGCAAATTCTAACCTCCCTTTACCAGTTGCTCGACATGCTTCCGAACGCTATTCGTCCTCTAAAGTATTCCTAGCGTTAGCAGTTCTTCTGCAAACTGTCTTCGGGTTCGATTTTGGAATCACCAACCTCATAAGCACGTTGCTACTGGAGCTACCCAATTCGCGGACTCAAGAATACGAAGGTGTGTTTCTTCCAGCTATAAACATGGAGATGCTGACGTCAGGGATGTAGCCGATACTATCGGCATGCAGCTCACTGCAAAGGCATGTTTTGACCCCCAGGCTGCTGTGGAGTGAGTGATCTGGGTTTTCCACTGTCTGACTTATGTGCACGACATCACAGAATGCATGCGCGACTCGCACAATATGAAAAGGCCCATGGAGCAACAAGTTTGGAATTCTTGCGCACGCACCCTGGTGCGGAGCGGAGAATCAAAGTCAGTGTAGTGTTTCTACTTTGAGATTCATGGTTTCATCTTTCCTTCAGCATCTCGAGGAACTAATACCAGAGGCCTACTCTATACAAGCTAGCAGCCCTCAATGTGCAGGTACACAGGACTCTCTGAACCGTTTCAGGGAGTTTGCTCTTAGATGATCGTAGATTATCCACCAGAGTTGAGATCTTTTGTGAATACATTCAGGCTCTCTCGCTGCTTATCTTTTATTTGTGCAATTTGGAGTACAAATTGATCAATGTTGCAATTAGGAAATAAATGGCATCATTGAAGTAGGAGCTTCGCACTTCGTCGTTTTCCTGATGCCATGACAGATTTACATGACAATATTATGACACTAGGTCCCCTTGCTAGTGTGAGGTCATAAGTATTCCATTTTGTCTCCGTCTTCATTTAACAGGTCCATGGACTAGCCAAACAAAGACACATAACGCGGTGGTTAATTGGATTTAAAATCTTCATAGCAACTGACACCACTTGGATAATTCGCCTCTTCTCTAAATTCACAACTCAACTTCACAACAATGGCCGTCTTCGTTCAGCGCCCAGCACCAGCCTTCACAGCTACCGCAGTCGTGGAGGGTGAATTCAAGGAGGTCTCCCTGTCCGAATACCTGGGCCAATGGTACGCGTCTTATGCGCTAGACATTCGTGAGAGGAGCGGCTAACATTAGCTTATTGCAAGGGTGATTCTTTTCTTCTACCCAATGTGAGATTAATGCAAGTTCTCCTCAAGCATCATGTTTCTCACTATTATTTTCGTCACGCTAACAGGGATTTCACGTTCGTTTGTCCGACTGAGATCTTGGCTTTCAACGATGCGCTTCCTCAATTCAAAGCGCTGAATGCCTCCGTTCTCGGTTAGTTCGGGATTATTTTCGTGGTCTATTAGACGCGTTCTGATGGGTTTTTTTTAGGCGTTTCCACGGATTCTCAGTATTCCCACTTTGCGTGGGCGCAGCAACCGAGGAAGCAGGGTGGCATTGGACCCGACCTTAAGCTGCCTTTGGTTGCGGACAGGAACATGACAATATCCAAGGACTATGGTGTCCTCATCGAGGAGGAAGGCATTGCACTACGTGGTTTGTTCATCATTGACCCCAAGGGAATCGTCAGGTGGGTGTTTGCGTGAATCGTGGACTAGTTTGGTAACCGACGCTTTTGAATAGGCAAATCACCGTTAATGATCTGCCCGTTGGTCGATCTGTGGATGAGACCGTCCGTCTTCTCAAGGCCTTCCAATTTGTGGTACGAATTTTTCTCTGCATATCGTAACGTTTCACTGCATCTTTTGCAGGAGGAACATGGGGAGGTCTGCCCTTTGGGCTGGACCGAGGGTGCTAAAACCATCAAGCCAGACCCCAAAGGATCTATAGACTATTTCTCGACGGTGGACGATGCACCCAGCAATGGTCATGTGAACGGGAGTGCCAAGAAGCGTCTTCGCACGGATTGATGGAAGGGTTTACACGACAGCTAGATGTGATCATGGTCGACGCGGTTAGAACACCAAGGTAGACTTTTGATATCTAGCCGTATAATTTTTACATACATATATCTTGCATATCACCATACATACCTTATGTTACTTATATCCTGACATGGCAACACTTGACTTTCAAGATTGCAAAGTTTATTAAACTCAACTCAACGAAGTAAAATGCAGCAATGCATACCAGCAGGGGGCCGGAAGCGCTGGACGAAGCCAGTTCTCCTTTGCTGAATCCTGGGAGAGTGCCAGCGCTCGACCGTCACTCTTTCCTGCGAAACCAGACTCCACACAGTCCAATGTCTGCCTCGGGCGATGGATCCGGAAAACAAAATTGGATGTCGCTCAACGTAGAGCAAGCGTTCGTCCATATTTTGGCATGTGTCTTCTCTGTGCCCGAGCTCACAAAGTCGCTCGATAGGACAACACCCACAGGTGAAGTAATCGACATCGAGGAAATGCTGAGCGGGGGCGTTGTGGGAGTAGGGGATGATGGCACTGACAGTTGTAGAGAGCCAGATAATGGGGGCGTCAACTGTCGTGACTGTCTGGAGCGAAATGGCGTGGTGACCTTGAGCGTGCGCAACCCATTAAAACGCGAGATAACTGCATCAATGATGCCATATAATATCTTCGAGCAAAGCGTCAAAATCGATGATTTTTGAATCCAGAAGATATCACTGACCTCGGCGGTGTCGTCTTCCATCCAAAGCACCTCTACCTCCAAAGCCATGAGGCCGCGGCTATTGGCAGCGTCGCTACCTGACAAAATTCCACCGGCAGCACCCAAGAATTTTTCAACTGTTCGTTTGTCCACCTCGTGAGTGAAGACCACATCCAGTTTGGAGACGCCTTGAATTGCACGGAGGAGTGCGGCAGGCCGCAACCCCGTGTACAGCGTGGTGGTGACATCCAAAACAACAGTTTCAAGTGTTTGTCCCAGTAAGGAGCATATTGCCATCGTCAGTCGTGGAGGAGCATGCAGTTGAGAGAGCGATGGCAACATTTCCCGTGCTAGACCAGATACGAATATGTGTTGATGGAAAGAAGATTCGGGTGAAGCGTTCTCGACGACATTGGGAAAGGCTAGATATTGTAGGGAGGATTGATTTCTGAGGAAATGTAGAATGTCGATGAATTGCTCCTCAGAAATTGTGTCATCAAGGATGACCAGTGTCTTCAACCGGAAAGAAAGAGGAGGCGACCGCGAAAATACCGGAGAAAATGTCCGTAGCGTAAGACATTCCAAGTTTGACATATTATGCAACGCAGTCGTGAGATCAAGAGATGGTATGAGATGGCCCTCAGATGCTGGCCAGAAGTGACATGAGAAAGATTGAACCCTCGTAGCGAGAGACGCATGGGTGGCAAGGGTTTTACAAAGCTTTTTAACTTGTGGCTCTGATATTGATTGGAAGTCGAGTATCCGATATAGCGTGTTACGCGAGGCATTGCAGAGCTGAGCCGAAACAAGGGCAATACGCGGTAAAGCGAACTTGGGTAAGAAAGACAGAATTGTCTCTAACAGCTCCACAGGAAGGCTCTGGATTGTGACACCTGTGTGTGTTGTGTGTTCTGCAAGCAATCCTGAACGGAATGAATGTGACGGATTATTCAGTAAATTGGACAAAGACTTGAGCAATCTTGCCTCACCTCCATTTCCGTTTGACCGCTCTAGATCGATACTTTCACCGTGTAACGGTAAAGACTCCATTAAACTAGCCCTGCGTCCCAGGCCACTGGGTCTCCTGATTTCGTCTGGTGATGCAGTGGAGGAATCACTAGACGGCCGGGGATATGCTGCAGCGGCATCACGAATGAATCCGACTGCTCCGTGGCTGCCCACGGGGCTGGCGTTCTTGAGCGAAGTTCTTTTTCGAGGGTTGAAGAGGGTGGTGACGCGTTTAAGAACACGATTTGGATATTTCCCCTGGGGGACGGTACTAGTATCTGCTGCAGCGCTTCTTCCTCCAGCTATGTCCAG